CCCCCCCCCCCCCCCTCCAAAAACCCAAAGGAGGATTCCAAACACTTGCACACAACCATTGTATGTCCAAAATGAGTGACGCCACCGCAGCGAAGCCCAAGGGCCCGACTTCGATTCTCGGAGTGGACAACATGAAAAGCCCATGACTAGCTGTTGTGGTCAAGACCTCGATACAGAACATCAGGACTCTGGATGCCAAAGAAGGTGCAACAGGAAGACATGGGAACCAAACACCTCCATAGAGCCACCAAGGTGCAGAGGAAGATACGGGAACCAAAGACCAAACAGACCTCGCAAATATAGCTACTCTCGACCGCTACCCTCACCGAGTTGGATGGACAAAAATGTGCCAGGCTCTCACCTTGTCATCGCCGACCGCCGCGGCGTCGCTACTCGCAGCAGCGAGTCCAGCGACGGGGGGGGCGTCACCGCCCTCGACATCATTCATGTCCGGCGGCATTGTCGCGCTCGCGTCGCCCGAGGGCACATCGGCGGCGGCGGCGGCGGCGGGATCCGAAGCGCTAACCTCGACGACGGAGGAGGGTGTGGTCAGCGTGTCCCGTATCGCCGCCATCTGGCCGGTAGAGTCGGCCGAAGGCTCGTGGTCGTCGACGGCACCGCCTGCACATCATACCAACACCGAAGACAGAGGGTGTGTGCGGTCACAGCAGGCATGGTGTGTGTGTGTTTTTTTTTTTTATTATTAGCATCGACCGCGCTAACCGGCTGACCAATGAAAAGACGTCAGTCTTAGTGCGGTTGAAAACAAAAAACACTTCTATCTACCATGAACTGGGACCCCGTGAGGGGGCAGCATGGGGGAGGCTAAACTATCCTTCGGATTAAAAACAGAAACAGCAGCAACAGACAGTGTGTGTGTGTGTGTGTGTGGAAGCCAGCACAGGATTACAGTGATGGCGATACCGTCAGTATTCACCGAACAATCCCATCGACCACGGGCATCGCGTTGGTTTCGAGCTGGTCGCGTGTGCTTCGGCCGCTAGCCACGGTGTGCCGATGTCGCGAATGGGAAGGGGGCAGGGACAGCCTGTACCCGCAACAACAACGTGCGTCTCATCTTCGGAGAGACAGACCGGCCACACCGCGTCCGACCTGGCTTGCGCCGGTCACGAACTTCAAAGATGCACCAGACTTGGCCAAGCCGCCAACTCAACAAACCAAAACAACGCCACCCCCCCCCCCCCCCCCCCCCNCCCCCCCCCCCCCCCTCCCCACTGCGAGTCGCATCTCGCAAAAGACAGGTAAAATAGACTTTGTACCACAGTACTGTTCACGTTCTCGATAACGAGGTGCAAAAAGGAAATCAAAACGCATCAACAGCGTTCGCCTGTTCAACAGCGTTCGCCTGTTCAACAGCTTTCGCCCACGGGCGAAGCGCACGGCTCCTTCGCGTTCTCACCGGCAACGTGTTCCGGCAGCACGGCCGTTTCTCCCGGGAGCTCGACACCCTCCCCTGCGCTCGACACACTGCTATCGGGGGGCACAGCAGAATAATCTGAAACCTCAGGTACGGACCCAACACCGGGTGCCGGCGCTTCCGCGACGGAGTTGCCCGAGGTCGCGTCCAGGCCAGCGGCAACGACCGCGGGCGATGCCGAGACGCTCACGTCAGGTGCGGCACCAACACTCCCAGGCCCGTCAGGCGACTCGGTGTCGACGCCAGGAGACACGGGTATGACGACTTCTGTTATGGAGCCCTCGGGTGCAGAGCGGGTAGCGCCGCTGCCGTGTGGCAGCGCGGAGACCTCACCGGAAGCGCCAACGGCGTCGGGCGGGGCGTCGCCGCCGACGGACGTGGAAACGCCTCCAGGTAGAGAAGGCGGGGCCACGACCCCGTCGTCACCCAAGGCCTGTCGTGGCAAATGTAGCAGAACGATTGTTAAACGCACCACCGCGCACCAGACGCAACCATTGACAGTCGCATGGGTGACGAACGAAAGTCGTCGCGGGAACGACAATACCGTGGACCGCACAGAGAGCAAAACATAGTCAATATACATAAGTACACCGGCAACGAACTAACTCTCCAGCGGTTCAGGCCATACATACATACCCTACGCCACAAGCCCTCGTACTACTCGGCGGCCTTTCCGCTAACCGGACCATACCACCTTGAGGCGGGGAACCAATCTGTTCTACCTATTGCTACGTTTCCCATGTTGTTGTTGTTTGTTGTTTCTCTCCCATCATTGGACTCTGCCGTCTGCCCCTCTGGCCCCTATCCTCCACTTCTACTGGCTAGACGACCCAACCGGGGTCACATAGGAGGGGGGGGTTGGAACCCCCCTCCTGCGGTTCATGCCTGAGGTATTTTTATCGCGAGAAGGGTACAGCAATCCCTTCCCTCGCGACTTTCGAAGTCGATTATGGTTTACTAACAAACGATGTGTAAGCACCGCAAGGGGCCGGCCTGCCCTCACACGCGCGCAAGTCACCACGACATACCTGCGTCTTCCTGTGCGGCGACGTCTTCCCGACCACCGAAACGGAGGGCTCGTCAGCCACGGACGGGCTGGCGTCCACGCCTCCAGAGGGAACCTGAAAAATACAGGCAAGTCGCCCACCCCGAAGGTTTCGGGTATTCCGTTTGGTAAACCTGTGAAGTCTCGTCTCCAATGGCTATATACGCCGGGAGAAGCCCGAGAGTCTAGGCGAAGCGGAACGTACTCTTATATTCCCCGCCGTTCGCGCCTACCTACTTGTAGCACGCCGAGGGGGGCTGCTGCTTGATGAACACGCGAGCGAAAGAGGAACTACTGAATGGGACCCTCCCCGCGAAAAAAAAAAGAAGCAAGCGATAAACCCGTAGGAGACGCTCTCGGCGACCCTAGTCCGGATCGGGAATGCGTCGGGAGAGAAAGCATCAGCGTCGGGTTGACAGACGCCGCAGCATAGCAAGTTACATTTCCACAATAGAAACCCGCAGAGTTGAACAAACGGTTCAAAGAAGAGTGACAGGAGGAAAAGGGGTGTGGGGAGGGGTGTTTGCGACACGGACCACGTCTTCCGCGATAAAAAAAAAAAACATGGCAACAACAAAAACCGGCTGAAGCGTTGGCTGTATTCCCGTCTAGCAGCAGCAGCAGCAGCAGCAGCAGCAGCAGCAGCGCGCTCTCGAGAACCCCCAAGAAAAAACACACACACGCGCAAATCATCTCCTCGTCACGCGCGCACACACCTCAACATCATGTGGTTCGTCACCCGACGGACCTACTACAGCGGCGGCACCATTGGCCCCCAACAACGCCACATCGGCAGCGCCGCCGACTCCAGCGTTCGCGACTGCGACAGGGAGCAAGTGTTCGCCGGAAGCGCCCCCCCCAAGCTCGGACGAAGCCTCGTCCGGTACAGAAGCGGCGCTTGTAGGGTCCGGGGGCGGGGCGTCGTCGACGCCAACGGCCGGGTCCACGGACGCCGCACCGTCGGCGCCTGCTTCGCCACAACGAGGAGCACCGGCCGATTCGACGGGACACGAGAGCGTACGGGCACAAGAAGCACGCGCAAGCAAGGGGAAACATGGTCAAAACTAGCACATGGCCCAGACAGAGCTGGTCACCATTCGAGCGCAGGGAGCCGCAGGCGCCCGGCCGGTAGGGGAGAGATGCGTCTGGAATTTCAAGTGCGGTGGTGGTCTCTTGTTGTTCAGGTTATCTAGCCTGAGTGTTGAACCGCGTGTCAGCGTGGGGCACAGGCGGATCGATAGAGACCTCCAACCATGCACGCCACGACTGCTGTTGATCTTTTAGAAGGGCACGTACAGCGATACTACGCGACACCATTGCTGTGAAAAAAAAAAAACGTACTCGTCTGCCTCGGTCAAAGGCAAACCACATCGCCTGACGTCCACAGCTCAACAACACTTGTTTGCTCTTGTGAGCCTCGGCATTCATCCGCGTTGCTGACAAAAAAAAAAAACGCCACTCACCGAGCGCACCCGCACTTTTCGAAGGCACTACGTCTGAGTCGGCCAACGGAGCGAACACATTCACGTCCACCGGAGGAGGACTGCTCACACCGGCGACAGCCCCATCGCCCAACTCCTCGGCGATCCCAACATTAACGGGCTCGCCGTCCACTGCATCAGCGGGGGGTGCTGTCATCGTGGAGGCATTCTCTGCGCCATCGACGCCGGCGACGACGACATCTTCCGCGATAGCAGCGGCGGCGGCGGCCAATCCGGTGCCAGCGGGTTTACCAGCCTCCGTGGCCTCCGAGGCAACGGCTGCAGTCGCCGCCGGTCCTTCTCCGCCAGCCGCCCGCAGTTCCAAAGCCACCGTCTCCTCCTCCTCCTCCATCTCCACCTCCTCCTCCATCGCGTCCGCGTAGGCCCCCGAGTTTTCCCGCGGAGCGAAAATCTCGTGCAGGGGGTCGCTCGCGGTTGGCTCAGCCGCTTGGGAACGGGACCCTAGTGCGGTCGGCGGCAGCCTCAGCGACACGCCTCTTCGCTCGGCGTCTGCCGCGCCGTTCTCCTCGGTCGGAGCAATCGGGGAGCTTCCCGCCGTGTCGAGTTCGCCCGCCGCCACCGCCGGGGGGCTCCCTGCGGCGCCAGGTGTCCCCGCCGCTGCACCCGCCCCGTAGTCGTCTCCCTTCGGCGCTAACGGCGGCGGCGGCGCGGCGGCGCGCTCACCCTCAAGAGGCGAAGCAGCGCGAGGTGGCGGCGCTGCGCCACCTCCACCGCCGTCGGCTTCGACGTCATCGGCCGCAAGGAAGAACTCTTCTTCATCGTCATCCATGCCGGCGTTGGCCCCGGTCTCGCCGCCACTGTCGTTGCCCGCGACGACGCCCACGCTGGCTTCTGCCTTTGGTTCTACAGCAGCAGAGTCTCCAGCCTTGTCCCCGGGACCGGGGGACGACGCCGCCGGCATACCGCTCTCGCTGCCGTCGCCGCCATCCTTACCGGAGACGCCTACTGCCTCTGGTTCTACAGCAGCAGTTTCTCCAGCCTTGCCCGCGGGACTAGGGGGTGATGATGCCGCCGCCGGATACAGCCCGGCCGTAACGACGGAGGCAACCCTGGAGAGGATCCCGAACCGGGATCGAGGGGTGCTGCCCCCGCGGGCTTGTGGCTTGGGTTCCGCAGAGCCTCTAGCCTTGTCCGCGGGAACGGGAGATGCCGCCGGAATACCTCTCTCGCTACCACCACCGCCACCCGTGCCCGAGACGCCCTCTACCTCCCCTGGTTCGACGGCAGCACCCGCAACCTTGTCCGCGGGACCGGGGGACGATGCCGCCGCCGCCGCCGGATTCAATCCGGCCGTATCAGCGTAGACAGGCTTCGAGAGGATCCCGACGGGGGCTCGAGCGGCGCTGCCCATGCTCGCCGAGCGGCGCTTCGTGATGCGGGCGACGCGGGGAGACGGTGCCGCCGCCGCGCCGACCGCCTTCGGGCGGCGGGAAGGAGTCGCGGCACCGACCCGCGGCGCCGCGGCGGCGTCGTCCCCGACGCAGAGCTTGCAGGTGCGCTTGAGCTCCAAGCTACCGGCGCCGGGCACGGGCAGGCGCGCGGGCGAGCACGGCGCGCAGACCGGCTCGAGGCACCGGCGGCACCTGTGCGGGCGACGCAGCTGCGTGAACTCGCCCTCGCACACGGCACACCACCGCAGCAGCGTCATCGACAGCTCCGACGACAGCGACGAAGAAGAGTTGGTCCGCGTGAGGGTGCCCCGCGGCCGCGTGCCCACCGCCGACATGGACGCCGTCGACCAGGAGGAACGCCGGCTGCCGCCGCCACTAACGCTGCTGCCGGGTGACCCTACCAAGGGGGTGGCAGCGGGTCGCCCGAGGGAAGACCTGAGGCTGTTGGACCTGCGCTGCTGCGGCGTCTGCTGCTGCTGCTGCTGCTTCCTCGTCTGCCATTTTCGCCCGGAGATCTCGGGCGTGGACACGATCGAGAGGCGGGAAGAGGTGGACGCGACGGAACAGGTGTCGGAGTCGTCGCCGGCCAAGGAGGAGGCGTCCGAGTCGTACGACGAGCGGGAGACGGAGCCGCGCTGCTGCCTCCGCCGCCTGGACTTGGACTGCTGCTTAAGCCACTGGCGCCGGTCCAGCTCTGTGTTCGAGGCGGAGTCGGGGATCTGGACTCGCGCCTGCAGTGGATGGATGGACGGGAACCAGGGCAGAAGAGAGCGAGCGAGCGAGAGGAGGGCTGAAAGGCAGGCGCCCAACCCAGGTCAACACGCACTCACACAAAAAATGATACCTAGTACACTGAAGAGAGAGAGAGTGGTGAGGCAGTCGCCTTGTGGCGGCGAACACGCACACGCACACCAACAATGATGGTACATTAAAGAAGGTCGAGATCGAGCTGTGCACAAGGCCAGTTTCGAGCTATTTGCTGCCCATCAACATTGAAGACCTCCGAGGAGGGAGGTGAAAGTACGCACCCCCTTGGCTCCCCTTGGCTCCCCGCAACCTACCACAGCGCACGAAGACTCAAGCCATGCTCCTGATAGATTTTGTGTGCGTGGGCATCGGATGCTCTACTTTGGCCTGGGCACTTAGAACGAGACCCGTCGAGCGTTACCGTTGCGGTTTTGAAGAACAGCATACCGGCAGCTCAGAACAGCCGCTTGCGGGAAAATGTCTGCTTCGGAATTCGAGATGCCTTTAGCGAAGCTCCGATCAACGAATGGATGAGACACGACTGCTATCGTAGCCTGGTGCCCCCCCGTAACGCAAAAAGCACTAGTCTACGAAAGGCTGCGGGCAGTGTGTACGATCTCGTGCCGCAGGAGGCACTACAAAGTGTACGCCGAAGCCGAAAATAACAAAGGGCACCAAACGATGTACACAACAATCACGACGGGAAGAAAGTAAAATTTTCGGGAGCCGTCGAAATCTGGCTGCTACATGCTGCTGCGTGCGAATTCCGATGTTGATCTGTTCGATTTTCTTTGGTTCGTTGTAAACCATGGAGATAAAAGCCAGGCGTTGAAGAGGGGATCCCACTGCAACCTCGGCTCAATGGCTTGGATATTTGTGTCTTGTCTCTCATTAATGTTTGATGTGCAAACCTCTGCCCTCCTGGCGTACGTGCCAAGTGTGGGTGTTAGGAATGGCCTAAAACGACAAGCTCCCGGGCTCCGTACGCACTGGTGCGAGGAATGGTCTGCTCTTGCGCACGACACCACCGTATATGACCTAAGATAACACACCCCCTGGACATTTTCAAAGCTCGATTACCCCCACGACAAAGAGGATGCACAAATGAAACGATACATTTTCGGAAAGCTCTCGACGAGGCAGCTTCAACGCCACCGTTTCCCGCGCTGTGACTCTTTCTGCTGTCGAGAAATCGAGATTTGAAAATCGGCCCAGGGGGTGTGTTACCTCGTGTCATTCATGGTAGTAGCGCACTCGATTCTTGAAGCGCACTCGATTCTTGAAGCGCACTCGATTCTTGAAGTACACCAGGTGGAGGGGAGCAGGGGGCTCTGCTTCCTCAAACAACCGCAAGCTTCCGATATCCCACCCTCGACTCTGTACCCTTGTGTTGACCCTCGCGACCTTGTATCCTTGGGGTTTTTTGTTTCGTGTCAACTGCTGTGCTCTGATTGTTTTGAGATTGTAGCACGTGACCACTTGCGGGATGGATGTCTTCGACAGCCTAAATTATCTTGCCTCTCAATGAGAAATAGGAGGAGGGTAGGCACAAAAGGCTGGACGGTTTTCAATGTCAACACCCTGTAAGCTGTCCGTAGATACCGCGTGGACAGTTTTGGTGGCAGAGAGGGGAGTGTACTCATGTTCCGCAGCCTTACACCTTACAGTAGTTGTTAGATCATCGACCATGCGTCCTCGAGAAGCCTGAGCATTGTTCCTACAGGACCGATCCAATCGTTCCTTCCTACTTTGCCAAAGGTGGGCTCCAAAATATCTTCCCTCTCCTATCTTTTCCATTTCCACCCTTTCTTCACGCTTCTAATTCTCATTGTATACCCCAACAGCAGCGGGAGGGGAAAGACGATATCTTCCTCTTTAGTTACGTACGCGTAGCCCTGCTGCTGCTACTTCATCCAGTTTCGCGGTCCAAGATGATGTTTGGCACACATGTGGACACCGTAGTGAGAACGCGAGGGACCGCACTCGCATTCGCTATGTACATGAGCTCCACCACAGCCGAAAGGTTGCCAACGCCGAACAAAGGGTGATGCTGGAGAGATCTCGTTACATACCAGTTTCCCTGCAGCTGTGTGCATCTTCATTCTGGTCGTATGCTGCAATATTCGTTCGCTCGAAGTTGTGGGGCAATCGTGCCTTTTAATAAATTTGGTCTATGACGTGGACGATCACTCGCGTGTTTGTAGCAGTATCTGCGGCAGACTGGACGAACACAAATCAAGGGTGTAGCAGCAGCAGCACCCGCGGATGATCTCTCTTGGCACATGCGCAACTAATGCATCACATGCGTATGTGTACGCAAAGTAGACTACAAATAGTAGACCGCGTGCGTACTCCTCCGTGTGTTTCGTGAATCCCGGAGAAATGCCCCCGGGGTTTTAAGGAGTGCTCCCTGTGCCCCGATACATGCATGCCACAGGTACATGCGTGCACCATCCTAAGGTAAGTAGCGACCTCGGGGGGGGCAATCACATAGCACAGGAAGCCCCACGGCCCTTGGCGACCCCGGTCCCGGCACGATGACATGATGACGGTGGTGACATCAGACCCCCCGGCGGCATGTTTACCCCCCGGACAAACGCGTGTGTTGGTTGTACACATTCTGATGACGTTGGGATGATGATGATCTCACTCTTAAGTCAACGCAATCATCACACCCACCTGCAAGATCGGGGCATCGGAAACGGCAGCAGCAGCAAGCGGTTGTCCCTGTTGTCTATGGTCGTCTTCAGCATCTCCGGCGCCTTCCGCCAAGGAAGACAGCTTTCGATCGGCGCTGTCATTCTCCTTCTGAAAGGGAACCCGAAACGAGCCGAACCCGCTTGCGGCTCCCGATGCCGTCGCCGCCGCGGTCGAGAGGAACTGGCTGCCGCCGCTCTCGTTCCCAGCTGCCGTCGGGGAGGCGGCGGTCGGCACACCGTCACCGTCGAGTTTACCGTGTAGGTGAGCCAGCGCCCTGTCCAGACCGAACCCTAGGCGATGCCCAACGGAGCTCCGCTTCGTGAGGTCATCCGCTAGACTCGCCAAGCTCGACTGGCGGGATCTGTCATCGCCCGAGCCAATGGACTGTAGCTCTTCGACGCTCATGCTATGTCCAGGTTTTGAAGAGGATGGGGATGGAGGGCGGCGGGTTGATCTGCATGTATCGGTGGACAAAGGCTGCCGTTTGGGTGCGTGTTGGAGTCTTCAAGGTGCTGGCTTTTTCGGCACATCTTCGGAGATCTTCTATCGGTTCATGTTGCAAGTTCGCCCGCACCCCGCACCCCGCCCCCTTCCCAACCTCGGCCATGATATCTACGGCTGTAGGGCTTCTACAATCACGGCAGTGACACAAGAGGATTCTCTGATATCCTGGACATGTAATCATTCTACTGCTGTCGTGTCCCGGGTTACTTTTGTTCTCACGCATTAGGCACGTGTAATTCTGTATAATTGCTCTGTAAACGAGCACAGCAGGACACAGGTGGCCAGTGGGCACGGTTGTTGTTGTTGTTGTTGTTGTTGTTGTTGTCTTCACATTAAAAACCGTTCCGATCGCTCTCTACGCAGTACCTTCGTATGTCCGTACTGATCCAACACTCGACGCGGTCGATTCCCGTGGTCGCAGGCTAACTTACCCTAAAAAGGTACACTAAAATAAAATGGCCCCGAGGGGTCCGCAAGTCAATAGAAATCAATGACAGATATTCTGGAGTCCTCCACTCCCTCTGCGCGCTTTGCGAGGTAACAACTGAGACTAGGAGTCACCATCACGGGCCGGAGAGAATGAGGTACACCCCCTTGGTTCAATCTTGGTACTTCACAACGCAAGCAGAGACAAGACCATCTGGCACAGAAAACGAGAGAAAACGAGAAAAAGAGAAGAAAATCAAAGGAAACATTAGACTAGCTAAGGAGAGCGAAGATGAAACAAAAAGAGCGAAGACAAAAAGGGACCAGGCCGAAAACAAAAAGAAATAAGAGACAGAAAAAGGCACACCGTGGAGAGACCACTAACGACAAGCAAACACCCAAACATGGCCACCAAACAGCAATACATTGTTATGGTACGTCATCACTGGTGGGGGGTTGGTGCAATGGTGCAGCGTTGGGGGGGGGGGAGTTGGCTAAAAGAAATTCAATCCGGCNGTAATGGTACGTCATCACTAGTGGGGGGTTGGTGCAATGGTGCAGCGTTGGGGGGGGGGGGATTGGCCAAAAGAAATTCAATCCGGCACGTATCGCGCCACTCGGTCCGTCTCTGCTTGTTTGCTTTCTTCCCTCGCCGCCTCGTCCGTCTCCTTCCCCCCTCCATCCCCATTGGTCGCTGGCTTGTGGTTTCGTTTGAGCGCCCGTTGTCGGCTGGCCTCTTCTTCCTTCTCGTGCCAGGAGGTCATGAACCTCTCAGCTCCCTGCAGCACCGCCGCATGCCAGGGTACTCCCCCCTCTACCTTCGCGGCTTCCGTCCACTTTAACGTCGGTGCCGTGTCTTTCGGTACCGGGATTCCGAAACAACATGGATCGGTTTTCGTAGATCCGTGGTCGGCCCCGAATGCCTTCAGGTCGTCAAGCACACACTTGGGCCAGTTCTGTTCCTGTCCCCCCCTACGTCGCTTCTCCCCCCCTGCCAGTTCGCCGAACATCAGTCGTTTCGGGAGTCGCCCGTCCGGCTGCCTTGCCAATGCTCCCGCGAACAGTAGGCGTCGTTGTCGGATCGTGGCTTCAACGCTCTGGCATTCGACCCTCTTCAGCGTCTGGGCGTAAGAGAGCTGCCGGTAGGTGTCTTTCTTGCGCTTGTACCCGATAACTCGAAGGAGCAGTCGGTGGTGTATCGACCGCAGCGTCTGATAGTGGCCGCTGAGTGGTGACCATGTCATGCAGCCGTACAGCAGTGCCTCCATCGCGTCCGCCTGGAGTAGGCATATCTTGAGTCGGAATGGCGCTTGCGGTCTGTCGAAGAGCTCCCGGCCATATCGCCTGAGGCACG